TTAGACCACAGAATGCACAGCATTAAGTTTGTGTGCTAGCTAAAGTTGATTAAAATGTTCACTTGGGTCAGCCAGACCTGCAAAGTGGTTAAGTGTCCCAGACAGTGAAATGGTATTACAGGTCTGTGAAATGGAACACAAGCAGCAGCTCAGTCTAAACACGCCTTGTTTTCCAGTATCCCTAACCCTACTTGTTCCTTGCAGTATCCAGCAGCAGAACGATTAAACCGCATTAACTGTCACAATAAAGTGCAATCTTGACGATCTAAAACTGCCAAGGTCAACGGGAATACTTCAAATCAATCAATGAGGGTAGGCCGCAATCTCTCCCAGAAGCAGATTAAGTGTATAATTGACGTGTGTAATCTGCCGTGTATCTGAGTCTCTCTGCTGGCACTCAGACACGCATGCATATGCACACGCACACACTGAAGAGCCTGGGCAGGACGGCGGTATCAGTGAAGCACTGGATTTGGAGAAGGCTTTTTTTAATCAATGATCTATGCGCTCCTCCCCAATCTGACAGATGAGCCCTCACGTTAAGCACAGCTGCCTTAATCCTGCTCTCCTCAGCTGTTCTTTCAAGAACTGGCAGGCTGGCGGAGTGAAATTAATTAATTTTCTCCCCCTCCCTCTCCCTTTCTATCCCTCTCTCTGGTCCTCTTTCCGGAACTTAAACGTTATCCATCCACTGGCGAATGATTTGGCTCTCAGGCAGCTTGTATCTGGATTTTGGCCTTCTAAAAAGTCACCATCTTCTAAGTAATTTTTATTAATGAAATATTTTTTTTATCATCAATCTTTTTTCAAATTAAGTAAAATAATTTTGTCTGAATATGTTAATTAATTAATATGAATGTATTTTAATTAATCTTAATTCATAGTTTAATTAATCTTAAATTGCCACAAACTCGTTTTAAAATGTCATCCATTTATGTGTTAAATAAATTAATTAATTTACTTATCAATAATTAATAAAATGATCAATAAAGCTCTTCACGATTCCTATTAATTACTAGTATTATTTAACTCTCCATCCTTTTATGCATATCACTGGACTAAAATTTCATCCATTTTTCTTTGTTTTCATTTTTAATACCTAATTCCATATGGTCGCTTTTTTCTGCATTATGAAACGCTGATATGAAAGCAGAGCACAGCCATATTTTGAATTAGTCAAACAGCAAGTATAATCTTCTTACTCTGGCCAATGTGCCATCTCTGTCTTTGAGAAATCAGCATCCTTGACCCCAATTAACTCAAGCTTAGCGTGGGCCACATATACTTCAATATGACAACCATCCAAGAACCACTAAGCAATTATACTACACCCACCTAACAGATCATTTCAAAGCGGATTACTTAAAACAATCAAAAAATTAAAAAGTGTATAAGGGGAGGAGGCCAAAATAACAAGTGAAAGCAAGATCTTGGCTGAAATTAAAAACCACAATACAGCATGAATGAGGAAGAAAACAGCCCTTGTAGTGACTGCAACTCTGTCCAAACTAAATTATGTAGCTTTTTCATTATTCATCATTAACATATTAGTACAATTTTGGATACATTTTTCTAAATTATTTAAATCTTACTGCCTAGTCTGAATAAACCAGAAAAGATGAACCAATATCAATCTGACCAATATGAACAGACTAACATGTACAGTATTAACTAACAGGCATTTAACAAGAATCTTAACTAGCTATAATTAAAAAATATATGTTTTTGCTACGCTTAACTCAAATTTATTGCTTAAAAAGTTATATATTTAAAATATTTATATTACTATTCCTTCCTTGTATCAAATGTGCTTTTCCAAATCAGCAAAAATGGATAGAGTTAAAAAAAATGTGAAAAGGGGGGGGTGCTGTTCTTTTAAACCCATTTAATTAGTCCCATCGATACTATAATCTCCTCTTTTTTTTTATAAACCGAGTGCCGTTTTTTTAATAGGGTGCATGTAGCAGGTTTAAAACAACAGCACGTGGTGTTATGGCTAATTGTGGAGGATGTTATGACATCTTTAACAAAGTAACAAGAAAACATTTGAGCAGGTTGCCTGGAGCCCCCAATAAAGAGCGGTGCTATTTCAATGGCTGTTTAGCATAACAGTGAGGACCAGAGTGTGCGTGTTAGTGTGTGTGAGACAGAGTGAGCGTGCATGTGTGTATGCATGCACACATGTTGTCTTTTTCAACTGACTACGGAGGCCTGACCACTTCAGCGGGTGGAGAGGAGAGATGTGTGCCCATCTGGGGTTGACGGCAGTGGGGCGGGAGGTTGGGGAGGCTGGTTGGCTTGTTGGCTGGTTGTGTGTGGATGGATGTGTGTAAGTGCATGTAGGAGCTGAGTCTCTGAGGACATGGGCCATGCTAGTAGATGTACAAAGGAAGATTATTTGACTCTGAATAACGCCACTTGGCATAATGTGACAAAAACAACTTGACAGGAAGGATAAGTTTCATTTCAGGCACAGAGAGAGAGAGCAAGTAAAGAGGTGGAAAAAAACGTGAAAGGAAAATGGAGAAATGGAATGAGAGGGTAGGAAAGACAGGGCAGATGTGAATTTTTCTTGTTTGCATTCAAGGAAATTAAGCAAATTCACAATGCGACTGAAAAATAAGCGACACCATCTCATTCCAAGCGAATGAACAAAGACGTGAACACAGGATCTTTTCAGACAACCTCCAGGAGGGGAGAAAGATACTTAGGCATTGCAAAACCGAAGTAAAACCAGTACAAGCTGGTGTAGAGCAGCAGATTCAAGCAGCCTTTTTGTAGGACACTCGAAAAACCAGAGCTCATATGTTTAAAGCATCTCATAGTAAAACTACTGATCCTTGGTCAGTGAAAGTCAACAATGAACCACAATCAGGAGTCTTACTTGAATTGTTCACATATGACATGAGGAGCCATATTCACAAAGCATTTCAGAGCGGGAGCGATGTTTTCGGTTCAGTTTGTCCTGATTTCACACAAGAAGCGACATCAAGCAAACTGGCAGGAAAGATGATTCCAGATCGGCACTCCCACTCTGGCTTTCTTTCTGAATATAAACACAAGTCTTTAGCCACACAATGCAAACACACCTCTCCAACAACACACACTTAACAAACTGGTCTACAGACAGCACAAAAGGATTATAACCAACATGATGGCCTGGCCATCCCTTAAGACAGTATTCTCCATTGTGTGCCCTCCCCTTCAGTGTTACTTATTCAACTCCTCTTTTTTTGCCCTCAGTGTTTCCCCTCATTCTTTCATTTTCTTTAAGCCTTTATCACAATAAGCCCAAGGTTTGGAGGGCTTCTTTCTATTTGGATCTCCTTAGCGGGAGATTTACTCCGGAAATAGGGCAGTTGCCTTTGTAACACCCCCCCGCCCCAACTATCAGCTAAAATGAACAAAACAATATCCATCACACTCTGATTGTTTTAGTATATCCAATTTGTTTGGTTTCTACAGAAGCCCTAAGAGGAAATGCATTATTTTTTGCACTTTTTCATGATCTTGTCATGAGTTGTTTTCTCGTGATCACTACTTTTACAAAAAAATAAAAAAAAATAAAAAAAATTGTGAACAATTTTTCTGGTTAGCTGCAATCACTAAAAGGCATTTGTCACATATCCATGCAGATGTCCTAATGGCAATAAAATACAGGTGCATCTCAATAAATTAGAATGTCGTTGTTTTTGTTAAATGTGAGCCAAAATCATCACAATTAAAAGAACCAAAGCCTTAAACTACTTCAGTCTGTGTGCACTGAATTTATTTAATACACGAGTTTCACAATTTGAGTTGAATTACTGAAATAAATGAACTTTTCCACGACATTCTAATTTATTGAGATGCACCTGTAGACCACATGTTCAGAGTCACTATATGTATATACACACTATTTGTGACATCTCAACATCACTGTAAATGTTACTAAATAACTACACTACAATTCTTTTTTTTTAATTCAAAAATATTTTTTGCAATTTTTAATCAAAAATACAGTAAAAAATAGTAATATTATTTTTACAATTTTCAATACTCGTTTTCTATTTGAATATATTTTAAAATGTAATTTATTCCTGTGATGGTAAAGCTGAATTTTCAGCAGCCATTACTCCACTCTTCAGTGTCACATGATTCTTCAGAAATCTTTCTAATACGCTGATTTGCTGTTCAAGAAACATTTCAAACTATTTTTAATGTTGAAAACAGATGTGCTGCTTAATATTTGTGTGCAAACAATGATACATTTTTTATAGAAAATAGAAAGTTAAAAAAACATTTATTTGAAATAGAAATATTTTGTAACATTAGAAATGTCTGTACTGTCACTTTTGATACATTTAATGCATCCTTGCTGAATAAAAGTATTAATATTTTATTTTTCTAATTGACCCCAAACCTTATGCTGAGATCTTGGGGGATTTGTTACATCGAGATTAAAAGAAAATTGTGATCATGATAAAACAAGCCTGTCCACTTAGGGCTTCTGTATATTTCTATTCTACTGTTATCTTCATGGAACCACAAGCTATTCTAAATAAGCAGAACCTTTAATCAAAGGTCTGTAATATATTTATACCTTTCATAATATAGCTACGGCTATGTAGACATCTGTAGATTCTCAGTTTCTATCTTTAATTGCAGTGTGTTGTAGGTAGCTTGAACTGCTTAAGCTCACATCTGCATGCCCCTTTGTGAGAGAACACATCTTAAGATAATCCTCCTCCAGAATTTTGCACTAGGAATAACGAGCAGAGCAAAGGGAATATTACAGCCAGAACATTCAGGAACACACACAGCACTGCAGAGTGGAAAGGTTAAGCTAAAGAAGCAGTGCAAGAGAGAAAGTTAGAGTCAAAGATTAAAAGATAGAGAAATTAACTGAGAAAGAGAGAGAAGCAGGGTCTCAAAATGTGACTTATCCCTCCTAGCTGGCTGTTATGTCACATTTTGAAGGGCCTCCCCCTTCACAGAGGGAGAAGACAGCCATTACTTACATCAAATAACCTTTCTATATACATCTCCTCATTGACCTTGTCCCGCAAGACATCCTGAGAGTGGCGAACGAATGTCACATAGCTGTCGGCAACATCCATCCCAGGTTTCTGCAGATGAAGGAAAGAAAGACAGAGAAAGATGTATTACTGCTTAATGTAATTTGAATATTAGCATACAACAGCTCCGCTCAAAAACCTTGGGAACTGCCTATATACAGTATAGGCAGCATCCTAAACATCATGGAACCTCATACGTGACCTATTTGGAACAATCTACTGTATATAAGGACTACATAAATAGCTTTAGCACGACTCCATTCCATCAATAAATGTCTTGTGAAGTGAAAAGCTGCATGTTTGGAACAAACAAATCCGTCAATGATTTTAAACTCAAACCGTTGCTTCATCAACCTGTCGAGTCCTCTATCCATAATATTGCTTTCTCCTTTGAAAAAGTCATTAATCTGAATCAGGAGAGAAATATGCACAGATCAAGCACTGTTTACAAGCATAAACAGTTCTAAACAAGTATATTAGTGCATTTTGATGTGAGAGGACAACAGGGCTGCACCACTTCTGCTTCTTGCATTATTATGGGTTGATATTTTGGCCAGAAGCAACATTTAAAAGATAAAACACCTAAATGATGGATTTGTCACTTACAAACACACGACATTAATTGATGGACTGGAGTCGTGTGGATTGCTTGTGGATTGTGATGTTTTTATCAGCTGTCTGGACTCTCATTTTGACGGCACCCATTCACTGCAGAGCATCCATTAATGAGCAAGCGATGTAATGCTGCATTTCTCCAAATCTGTTCTGATGAAGAAACAAAATCATCTACATCTTGGATGGCGAGCTCATACACTGCAACACTATTGACAAAATTTAGCTAAAATTTCGCTTATGTGACTGCACTGTTCGGAAATCTGTATTGTTATGCTAATATGACGCTCATGGTGATTTTGCATTCTAAAGTATTAAGCTACTATCTACTATCAAATTAGCAAACTATATTTCACCTGACAGACAGATGAAAAGTGTTTTCTTAGATGAATGAGATGTTTTCTCATTTTCTTAGAAGTCTGAATTCTGAACAGGCCGGCAGGATAACAATGCTATTTGATTAGTACGATTCTATTCAACAAAATAGCAAGTAAAAAGTCAAGCCAGAGTAAATCATCTGGGGTGTTTTGCCCCCCTGCTCGGCCTCAGCGGAGATTTAAATACTTTCTTAGCCAGCGGGCATATGAAGGTCATCAGAATTGGTAATTGTTAGACACTGTAAATTGAACTTACTTCACACATCTATGGGTCCTTTCAGAGAGTGCAAATTAGCAAATTTTTCAGACATAATTTATTTTGTGCATTAAGCAAACAATTACCATGGAAACATAAGATTTGCTGACCCTCAGATCATAAGGAGAACGACAAAGGGAGAGAGAGAAAGAGAGCGAGAGGACGCTTCCAGCATTCATTGACAGGGTTTTAATTTAAAAAGCCTCGCGTCGTTACCAAATGTGTTGGCAGTTGAAGGAAACTCAGGGATGTGATGCTGAATGCAATGAGTTGGACCCAGCGGCATCTTCACAATGGGCTTTTGTTGCACAACACACACATCACACTGTCTGCTGCAGAGGGGAGAGCTTCACAGAAACGACTCTCTCTCACATATATATGAATGGCCATTTGGGGCTAAGAGATGGCCATCTGCACAGCAGGCCATGGCAATTATTAGCTGAATCTTAAAGCTATTACAAGGCTTTTGAAAACAAAGTGTTACATGCTATTAATTCATCATTTAGACTAATATGCTTATACTCAGGTTTCATGTCTACAAGAAACAAAAATGTATAAATTGACTGATGAACAACTTAAAGAAAGAAGTTGATTTATAAACAATTAACTGTTTTGATCGATAAATCAATAAGCATTAGAAAAATCCTGTTGTCACTTACAGGTACGTCCACATATTTTGAAGCAGCTTTTACCTACAAATAAAAGGGACATAAAAATCAAAATTAAAATAATAATTTAAAAACGAATATTAAAAACGAGTTAAAAATAACATCCCCTATAGAAATATTAAGCTAAAAACAAAGCTAAAATTATTTTACAAGTTTAAAAAATATATTTTACAAGTTTTAATATAAGATTAAATATTTTTTATTACTTTTTTTAGTTAAAATGTTTGAGTCAAAGTATCTTGTGACAGAAGTAAAATATTTGTATTAAAAATTGTTTGTATTTGAATTTGTGTTAAAAACAATTATTTGTTCTTACTGTAAATGACAGGAAGGAGGAAAAAAGTGTGCCCTCATCATAACGTGACAACTTCGCCAGAACACTCTCTAGGATCACAACAAACTGTAAAAATCAGAAGAAGAAAAAATTAGAACATGTTGCCCTTCAAAATGTGAAATTGTCATAACTGATAATTATTTCTATGCTAAGAATTTCAAGAGATTTAATAACGAATATAAACCAACAAACAGTATGTTTTATAAAATTAAAGTCTGCTCTTACTCTTTTTAGGAAGTAATTCTATGTAGATATAAAAACAAACATAATTTAGGAATATTGGATTGCTTGAATGCTACCTTTGCCACGAGTAAAGTAATCATTTCTTTCACCGTCTCCTCGATGAGATTGTCAATTTGCGAGTGGTACTGTCTCTGGAAAAGAAAGACATAATGAGCACAAATCGCAACAAGGTTTCTTGAGCTGTTTGTCGTTTTCACCTGGGATAATCTGTACAAACTCAATCCCTTTGTCTCCATTTACCTCATATCAAATACATCTGGGTAATTAATTCAGTTCAGATCATTACCTGTCTCAAGATCCTACAGATATGAGATGTCTCACTTCTAGCACATGTATATTCAGAAGAAGCTACCACATATGGTAATATAATCAAAACAATTTAAGTGTCACAAGACTGGGGGAAACTGCTAGGATTGCTAATTATACCTTTGGGACATAAAGGTGAGAATTCAATTGAATTGTTAGCCACACTTACCCGTTCTCTAACAAACTTTCACAAGATTGAGAAAAGGGATGAAAAGAAAGATACGGCAGACAAGGTGACAGTGACAATTAGAGAGCAACAGAGAGAAAAAGAAAACGTCTCATTCCAGCACAGAGTCAAATTAAATTAAAATCCTGAAACAATGGAAAACTGCCATGCTGGTGAATCATTCAGATCTACAGCAATAAATGCATTTAAATGATATATTGACAATCATAGAGAATATGTGTGTGTATACATTTAAAAAACAATTCATATATACCTACTGTATATATTATAGGCTGGTGCATATGATGAATTCATGCAATTCAAAAGACTACAGAATAAGGGATTTAATATAAATTGATATTCAGTCTTAGATGTATGCAGATCAGCACATTATGAGGGTGTTTTACTGGAAACTGTGGCAGAGAAAGTGTATGTTTGCAATGATGAGAAAGATACAGAGGAAGCGAACATGAGAAGTGTGGAAGAATTTAAGTGAGAACAGAAAGATACATTTGCTGGTGCTATCTACCTCTTGGCTGAGCTCCATGGCACATAGTTTGGCTGATTGGGCCTTGGCGTCCACCATAACATTGAACATGGTGCATATGGACTGAGGGACACGAAAGTCTGTAGTGCGTGGGCTCTTCTGCAACTTCACCTCAAAGGCTGCTCTGGTTCTGAAACAAGAGAACGGAGACCGAACTCTGACTGGTCACTTTGGTAATTAAGAATGGGGTAGGATTGCCAAAAAAAAAAGTCAGGAAACAAGACAAAATATATGCCATGTAATTGAGAGTTTCTGTGTTATACTCTCGGCAGAATTTTAGCTTTTGAGATGACTGAGATGCAATAAAGAAGTGAATGAAATAAATGAAATGCACAAATTAGTCTTGTGTTTTTCACATTTTTTTTAGCATATTAAAAAGTCTTTGTGTGGAGTGGAAGAGGAAAAGGAATGGATTATTTTACTTGTTAAGCCTGATCATCTTCTGAATCAGCAAATGACCATGACATTACTTACAACAGTTTCTCAAAGCACTTCAAATCATGTCTTCACTCACAGCATGCAAGACAAAGAGTTTATCACACCTTAAGAGTGACTGGAAGAATGCAGCTAAGAAGACGTCCGGCTTGACATCCTCAAAACACATTAAGTAGAAGGATTACAGATGTGGGGCTGCACACTGAAAATCAGCTAACCCTTTTTTAGTTAGTCCAATGGCAAAGCCAACAGATTTGACAAAAATTATTTCACTGCTTATATGTACTGTTTACTAAAGTTCATTTAAGTCAAATGACTACTGATGAGGGTTTACAGTGATTGTAATGTCACATCATGAAGAATTAAAATGTAGTTCTAATTGCAAACTAGATGACTCAATTACTAGATATATGTTATTTGGTTAGTTGATATATAATGTGCAGTTTTTTTTAAATCAACATCAATATTTTCCATTTTATCAAATTGATTTATGATTTTTTTTTATTTATGAAAAAATCTGATCAAAATTTACATGAATGTATACAGGAAAGTTTATAATTTCATTATTATTTCGAATCACGTTTGGCCTCTTTTTAGATGGTCCTGTGCTGTTACATAGATTTTTAAAAATAAAAATATTCCATGCAGTCTCCCAATTAATGTTGTGTCATTAAAGCATGCATATTAAAAAATAATTAACAAAATGCTGTTTAAAATAGTTTTTGATGGAGTATAGCATGTTACACTGCAGGACATGTCAGTTTCTTGAGCAATTAAAGTGTCCGCTGTCAATTCTATTTCTACAGCGCTTTCTACAATACAGATTGTTTCAAAGCAGCTTCAAAGTAATAAACAGGAAAATTACATTACTAATGTAGCAAAGTACATAAGATATGAGACAAATTCAAATTCTGCTGTAAAACAGCTCTAAAAAAACAATGGTGTCATTATTCAGCTCAAGTCAGTTCAGTGTTGATTCAGTTCAGTTCAATAAATGTCAGTTAATTATGAAACAAGTTCGATTCAGCTATAAGCAGCTCTGCAGAAGACAATAGTGTTGTTATTCAGCTTGAGTCAGTGCAATGTTGATTCAGTTCAGTAAAATTGTTCTTGTTGCAAAATTTGTCAATTATGAAATGAATTTGATTTGGCTATAAAGCAGCTCTAAAGAAGGCAAGAGTGTCACCATCCAACTCAATTCAGCTCCCGCTTTGTTCTCATCTAATAGTTTCACTGCAGTCAAATCAATGATATTACTGAATATTAACAGGTTTCCAACTGTCAACAATGTTTTCAAGTCTCACCTTTTTACACAGGACTCGATCATGTCACTGGACATGAGTTTGAGTCGGCTCTCCAGGTGTTTGGAGAACTCTTCTTCTGGCCAGTGCAGGTCTCTGATGAATGTCTGCAATGCATCCAGCTTCCAAAACAAATCTTCTGATGTCCCTGAACCATTACTGCCAACACCAGGACATGTGTAGAGGAGACAGTCAGAGGGATATACAGTAAGTTATTTTAATCAAAGCTGCATATAAATAAGGGAAAGCTCCGAGGTCGGGAAGTAGGAAGGTCAAAGGGCAGGTTTTTTTTCTAAAGAAAACAAAACCTGTTTCAAGTCCACACTCCAGGGTGAAACATTTGTTTTAGTTATTTTTACCACTTCCCGATCATTGCAGAGTTGCTCTGCTACAGATCAACCTCACTGGCAATCGTTCCATGGAAAAAATAAATGGTTAATCCTAAAACAAAATGATAACCAGTCAGGCCTGGTTGTTTGAGTACAGGAAAGGTAAACATGCACAATGATGTCAAAGGAGAATTGCAACATCACAAGTAAAGGCTGTATGTGTATGAAGTGGCAGGAGAAGCTACAGTCCCAGACAGGCATAGATCTGTTTGGATGGAGCCCATTTTAAATCCACATGGTCTGAAGTGAATGAAGAATTGCTCATAGAAGAAAACAGAGACTGATTCTCACTCCATTCCTTACAGCCTGAGTATGAGTCCTCAAACAGCCAGCAGGCCAAGGCATCTTCAGTGGAATCATATTTTAAGATCAACTGAAGCAATGAGAGCTTCACACTGAAGCCAGATTTAGTTAGAAGACTCTAACGGAGCAGCAGTAGAAAGATGTGTAGAAATATATTTACAGATTTATTATTAATTATTTACAGATTGATTATTAATCAATCTGTAAATATATTTTTACACATCATTCTACTGCTCTATGTGAGTGTCTGTTGATAAAAAAATAATAATAATAAAAAAAAGACTGATACTCACTAATAATCAATGACAGTATCAATCTTTTATTTATTCATCAATTGATTCATTCATTCATTCTAGTTGTTTTTAATAATGATAGTATATTAAATTCAATAATTTTAAATGCAATCATACTTGAGAGGCTTACTAAAATGTATAAACTTCATAAACAATATATAATCTTTGCATATTCATATTTTATTTTCTACTTTATAATTTTTGATAGTTATTTTTATTTTTACGTTTTAGGGTTTTTTAAAATAACGTTACTAAGAAAAGTTATAAAGACTTGTTTTGAAAGTTTTGAAATGCAATTCTTAAGATAATAATAATAATAATAATAATAATAATAATAATAATAATAATAATAATAATAAATGAAACAGGATTTCTCTTAAAAAAATCTCTTATAAAAAATAATATTTAATATTATTTAAAAAAATAATATAAAATATTATAAAAAAATATTAGACCACAAACAAAAATGTTATTAAGCCATTGTGTAAAAAATTAAAAATAAATAAATACAATGCTGTTTGGATTTGGGTTTCTCACACAATCCAGTCCTTTTAGAATCTTATATTTAGTTTCTACTGAAAGCAGATGCCTTTTTCTCTGAAGCTTGCATATCACTTCAGAGCATTGTCTGTCACAATGTAGATGAGGGAAACAGGACAGGGCCAAAAGTGGGACAGGGGTGATCTCCCTCAGTATTCCCATCCTAACACCCTATCCTAAGACAGGCTACAGGTGGTGTGAGTGCTACTACTCTAGGACCCAATACCCAGCAAATACAGCAGGAGGAATGAGGATGGACACCTGTATCCTATTCTGTTCTAACAGGAAAAGGGAAAGGAGGAAGATGTTGGAAAGATACAGGATGTTAAAGCGGCATTACTTATTCATGACCAGATACCAATGAACAGCATCTAATCATACGACCATGGTATTGTGAGTAATTTTTGTTAAAGGCGGAGTGTATAATCACTCACAGCACCAAACAAAATTGCAATCTGTTTGTTTTAGTGGCTTAAATGAACAATATTGGCTCAACCAATATCATGAGTTTGGGGCAGGGCTAACTGTTGACTGAACAAACATTTGAACTGGATTGAAATTGTTATTATTCTGGCTTGACATTAATGTGACCACTCAGAACACATTAGAAAATATGGGAAAAAAATAATTTTGAGTGTTATATTTTGCAATTTACAGTTTACATGTCACCTTTTTTTCCTCAGAATTGCAAGAAATAAGTAGATAAAAAGTTGCAATTAAGTTTCCATAAGAAACTCTTAATGAGCAACCATTCAAAATACCCTGGCAACCAAGCAGCATTATTTAGCAGTGTTAAATCTTCAGACTTAAGACAAGTCACGATCACATTTACCAAATTGTCTTAACAAATATTCCCTTCTAGTTATTTTTGTGAGTCTGTTTGGTGCCGCTACAGCAGAAATGACACACTTCAGCTTTAATATTGAGCTGGCAAAACGTGAGCATATTTCTATAGTGAGTTATTTGTATCTTCCAACCCTTCAACATGCTTAGGGCCTTTTTGGGTTAAAAATTGTTTATGGGCTGTTTCCATGCTGTGGCCTTAGCATAATTGAAATTTGTAAACACTAATTTCTACAAAGTTGAAGTAATTTAAGCTCAAGTCTGATATGTTAAGACAGATATTTTGAGGTGGCTTCAACTAGTTTTGACAACCTTTGGTGTTTACCCACTATTACACCTTAGAGATGGAATATTTACACCGAGTCTCACTCAGCATGCGTAATTATGTCTGCGTGTGGATGTGTAATTTTTTTCCAACACATGCAGCGTGTAAGGTATTTCACTCTCGTCTGGAAAGCTGTAATATGCTAAGGTTTGGAGAATCGGTTTTTAATTATCATGTCTAAATATAAGCTAAAATCTGCAGCTCAACAAAAATATATGACATTGTAAAATGTTGTGTGATGTTCCATAATATCATTTTAAAAATTCAAGCGGAAATGAGTTCAAAAACTTTTTTCTTACAACTGTAGATGCACCTCTTAAGACTTTCTGAATGAAAATCTTCAAATAAAACCTATACCTACAATTGATCTAGGGTAAATTTGAATTTTAGTTAAGTGAAAACTAAAGACAATTATGTTCATGCTAAGGCCACACATGCATATATTAGATTTAAGTACAGACTCAGTACACACTCAGTATCAGATAAACCCGGTATCCAGTTGGGGGTGGAAAAGCTAGGCATTTGCATTGGTGGCAGATTAACTGACAATGGTAGATTTGGTACTTTAGGCATTTGTAGATTCACATTTGGTAGGTTGACACTGGGTAAATTACTCGTTAAACTCCTGTGGAAAAGGAAAAAAACACAGAGAAAGAATGCAGTGATGTAGACGCACAGAAGAAAGCGTGGGTGATAAAGAAACAGCATTACATACAGTATGTTTAGAGCACAAGATGAAGAATTAATTCAGAGATAAGATGGTGTTGTAGAGATGCAAAGTGCACATGAGAAGGAGTGAATCACATCATCACCACTTTGGCTCTGGTTTTACGAGAAAACACATTTGTTTCTGCTGAAGCGCAGATTGTTGATTCAATTAGCATTAACATTCTTACAGTCACACACTTTGTCTTATGTTGCTTTGTCTAGTGATTCCAAGTTATTCTGATGACTTGTATATTTGTGAACCATGTAAGAATGTTTGTAAAGTTCAACAAGCATGGCTGGTTTAGAGTCTAAGCAAATTAGGGCTAGTTAAAGAAAATGGAACCTGTATCTTGAAAATAATTACTTTTAAGCTGTTAAAAAAAAACAAGTAGACAAGTGTTAAGAAAGATTCAAGAAAACAAAAAGACAGAACACATTGTGAACACATTTTCATTCTGTTGGAATCCATCTAGCTGTTTTTGAACACAAGAAAACTTGTGTGTAAATGGTGAGACTGTGGAAGGCCAAGGGGCATGCTTAATTGCATGCATTTTTATTTTTGTAATCGTAGCCTACTGAATTAACATCTAAGTTTAAAGTAAAAAGTGTTTTGCTTACTTGACAGGTTCCCAAGACTCTCGTTCAAATCCTCTGTGTATGGACTGAGCTATGGAGGACTCCATTAGATCCACATACCTCACCACCAGAGGGGCAAACAAATCTTGAAGGTGCTTATGAAACTTCCCATTACATAAATGATCTGAAATAGTAAGACGAAAGTGGGAGAGAAAGAACACAGTGAATGACTGCTGACATACAGTAGTAATGGCAGAGAATGTGTGACTAAGCAAATCTGAAAAATGAATCTGGCAAAACATAGAAGTGTTATGGCACTTTCAATTTCAGGAGATCAAACCAAATATTATATGAGTGATTTTATTTTTGATTTATCTTATGGGTTTTGGGACATGCCTAAACTCTGATGTTTGGATTTCATCATAATAGGAATAAACAGAAGTAAACATAAAAACTTAGACAACAAAATAAAATAAAATAACAAAAAAATACATTTTAAAATATATTAAAATAGAAAAGTTATTGCCGATTGTAATAATATTTCACAATATTACAGTTTTTACTGCATTTCTGATGTCTTAGTAAGCATAATAGTCATCTTTCAAAAAAATTATTCCAAACTTTTGACTGCTAGTGCAAAAATTATAGAAAGGGAATGAGATTATTTACCATCCTCCCATCATGCTATAGGGTTCAAACACTTCTATGTTATTTTTATGTTAGATAACAGTTTATCATACATCTCTAACAGCTCATTTAAAAACATTTTGATTTGTGCATCTAAAAAGCCACCAAGTAATTGGACACGAAAAATGCACTGTATTGGTGGAGATTTTAGCATGTGATGACTAAGCATAGTAGGCACAGCATCTCTAGTTCTCTCACTCTGGTCTCTTACTATCTCTCTCGCTTTACTCAAGGTCGATCATTCGCAGTAGGTGCCATGTTTGTTTGCTTCCCTGATTGCTCTGTTCCAATTAGCCACTTGAGCGGCGGTGGATGTACACTTGGCTGTGTTTGTCCGCGAGCGAGTGGCTGGGGCAGTGGGGTCTCCCAGGCTCCTCTGTTTTAGACCTCATTAGCAGCATGAATAGCTTCTGCTTTAGCGCCTGTCTGGTGTTAAGGCTGTTTCATGCCTAACTCAGTGCTACAGGCACAGGACGATAGTGACCTTCCATGTTGAATGTCCTATTCCACAGATGTAGTGCATGCTGTAGGCTCAATGGTGTTTACTTGTGTTTGTGTTTATGTGAGTGTGCTTGTGTGTGAGGAGGCCAGGGGGAGGTGATATGTGTCTCTGTGCTGTAGACTAATATGTGTGTGGATTTATGGAGAAATACATGGTGCTAGATTGGGGAACTAGATGACACTTGATTTTTTTTTTATTGAACCTTTAGACAAAATAAAATAAAAAAGTTTGCATGTGTGTTTTTTGATAAGTATCATATTTATTGCATCAGGCTTTTAAGGCTAATATATGTTATAGTGAGAATATGGAGTTTTATTCAGAGGACCAAACAGAGCAAAAATATGCAATTTGGAGAAAAAAAAAATCATGCTCAGCAAGTGTTCATCTTGAAATATAACTAACAATGTAAAAGTTCTTACGTTTGTTATAAAAAGCAGTAAAGATGTCAAAGCAAAAAGCATGTTACACGACATGAAAGTGGATGTTTTCAATACTACAAGGCCTTTTATTTACTAAAAAAGTATAAACCATGCATCAATGAGATGACAGAAGGCATGTAGTAGATTGTGTACAAACATATTGATCATGTTTATAATTTAAAACACTTAAAAATTTGCATATCTAATATGATACATTGTGCATTTTATATGGGTTAAGAAGAGTCAACCAAAAACATTTTTTCTTTTCTGGTCTTTGCTGGAATGCTGAAAAACAGACCATCTATAAAATACTATTTCTGCTCCCTTCTTTAAAAGAGATTATTAAAAATAATTCCAATCTTTTTATTTTATTTTAGGATGTTACACAATCTCTCATAGTAAAAGATAAGAAGAGACAGAAGAACAAAAATAAACAAATACAAGCAAAAAGCAAGCAAATAAACAAACAGTTTAAAATTAATACTAAGCATGTGAATGTAATGGGAGAAAAATAAAAAATGTAATTAAAATTTAAAAATAATTAAAAAAGGGAAATACTGCTAAATTGTTTATTTCATACACACAGTACACACACTCTTGCTTTCTCAAGCTCTAGATCTCCCAGCAGAAAAAGCAATTCAATATCAAGAATAGGTTACCAGACAACAACCTGTCAAGCTGTGCAAAGAATGCCACTAGGATAATTAGTCAACTGCAGCCCATGGCAGTGTGGCTTTAGCACCATGGACAGCACCCCATTGACTTCAGTTCATTAGAGACGTGATAAGGCCTAGATCAAACTCTTTACATTCAATGTGTTGGTTCGACCCCCTACGGGTTTCGCTATTTGGTCCTTAATTCTTCTATATTGCCTCTTAAAGCTCTGTTTTGTTGCAATTTGTAACCTACTGCAGGCATGCAACATCACAATTATGCCATAATGAACTGTTGATATAACAATTTCCAATTTCATTCATTTCAATGTTTTGTTTTATGATGACCATGATTACACTCTCTCTCTCTCT